TGATGTCATTCCCGGTACAGTGCCCATCTCTATGGCACTATACCGCATGGCACAGGTAGAGTTGGATAAGTTGAAAAGCCAGTTCGATGATTTGAAAGCTAGGGGTTTTATTCATCCTAGTGCTTCACCATAGGGAGCATCAGTTCTTTTTGAGAAAGAAGGATGGGTCATTGAGACTTTACATCGATTATTGTTAGTTGAATCACGCTATGATCAAGAACAAACATCCTTTACCTAGGATTGATTACTTGTTTGATCAGTTGAAGGGAGCCACTTGCTTTTCAAAGATTGATTTGAGGTTGGGTTACTATCAGTTGAGGGTTAAGGATGAAGACATATTCAAGACCGCTTTTCGTACACGGTATGGCTATTATGAGTTTTTGGTGATGCCATTTGGTTTGACCAATGCTCCAGCAGCTTTCATGGACTTGATGAACCGTGTATTCAGTGACTATCTTAACAAGTTCATGGTGGTGTTCTTTGATGACATTATCGTGTACTCAGCTTCGAGGGAGGAGTATGAGTATCAGTTGAGATCAGTTTTGCAGATCCTTAGGGATAATCGGTGGTATGCTAAGTACGAGAAGTGCAAGTTTTGGCTACCGGAAGTGAAGTTCCTTGAACATGTTGTATAAGGGGGCGGTGTTTCAGTTGATCCATCAAAGATTGAGTCTGTGATGGATTGGGAACATTCGAAGACTGTGTTCGAGATTCGGAGTTTCCTTCGCTTAGCCGGCTATTACTAAAAATTTGTTCGGGATTTCTCTCATTTAGCGGCACCTATGACTCGACTTACCCGCAAGGGAGTCAAGTTCACATGGAATGAGGCTTATGAGGTTTCTTTTCAGGAGTTGAAGGTCAGGTTGACATCCGCTCCAGTTTTGATCATACCTGAACGTGGTTTTGGTTACGTGGTCTATTGTGATGCTTCACGAGAAAGTTTGGGTTGTGTTTTGATACAGATAGAGCGGGTAGTTGCTTATAGGTCTAGACAGTTAAAGACTCATAAATTAAATTATCCGACATATGATTTGGAATTGGCAGCAGTGATCTTTGCCCTGAAAGGGTGGAGGCTTTACTTGTACGGGGAGAAGTTTGAGGTTTTCTCCGATCACAAGAGTCTCAAGTATCTTTTCTTATAGAAAGACTTGAACTTGAGAGAGCGCAGATGGGTGGAATTCATGGAGGACTACGACTTTGAGTTGAAGTATCATCCAAGCAAGGCCAACGTTGTGGTCAATGCATTGAGTAGGAAATCACGGCGTACTCTTGCTAGCATTTCCATTCATAGATGGAAGATGTTAGAAGAGCTTGCAGATCTTGGATTACAGTTGTGTGAGGATGTTTCACAGGTTATTTTTTTTTTTGCCTTGTGGCTCAACCAGCTCTAGTTAGCAGGGTTATTGAGGCACAATAGGAGGATGGGGGGATGAAGTCCATCCACGCTCAGATTTCAGGCGGCAAAATGTAGAGGTTTGGACCTTGCATTCAGACAGTGGTCTCAGGTACAGGGGGATGATGTTCGTTCCTTTGTCTTGTCTAGGTTAGTCCAAGAACCATTACAAGGGCAAAATCGTCCAGAGTTCTATAAAGTGGGGTAGAAAAGCCCGAAGATCAACTTCAAGGGTAAAAATGTCAATTCTCTAAAGTATGAACTTCAAAGGTAAGAATCACACTTGAATTTCATCTATCTGCATTTAGGTTCATGCATTCACATTATTCATGATCATATGCTTTGAGGTGCATGGTAAATCCTTTGATATTTTATATATATATATATATATATATATATATATATATATATATATATATTGGAAAAAATGATTTTCATGATATAAAAAATATATATTATGTTTAGTTTAAGTTTCTAGAGTTTTTTACTAAGTATGCACATGATATATATTTTCATATACATTTTCTTAAAAGTATATAGAAGGTAAATAATGTTTAAGATAAGTTTGTTTAGCATGCTAATACTTTCCACTAGCTATAGAACTCTCCCAAAGTCATTTTTCAAGGCAAAAAGAACATTTGAAAGTGGTCATTCCAGTCCTTCATATAATCGCCTGATCCCGAAATCTCCAACTGGAATATTGTTTGGAGTTCCCCTTTGGAACGATAACAGTTTCTGGCACACCTGTAACCCTTTCCATTCTCTCGGAAAGGACCACTTTTTGTGAGCTAAACAATATATATAGTCCCAAACAATGGAACATAACTTGTCCTACAAGAAAATGCCTTTTGTAGAGTCCAAAATTAATAAGGAAGTTAAATCACGTAGGTTCCCAGGGGAGTTGGACCGGTTCAACTTTGTTACCCAAATTATGTTACATTGTGCAATTCAATGGTCAACTTGAATCGATTCAAGTGCCCTGAATTGGTTCAACGTTGGCAGTAGTTAAGGCCGATAGCCAACATAGAAACCTTTAACTTCCCAAATCATTCATGTAATAACACGTGATCAGAGTCCATAAAACCACAACACTCAGACCATTATAGGCTTAATAAGGAGGGCTATCAGCAGTAGACTTGGTTCTGTCAAGCTTATGAATGCCTCCATTCCTTAACAAATACACAGGAGGATTTTTAGTGCCTCTTGTTGAGGGAAACCATTTGGTTAAAGGTAATAGATGAGTTATGGCATTTTTATTGTTTTCACTTTGTTTTTTTGTTTGAGACCTCTCATGCCTCTGTCTCTTTTGTGGCCTTTCTTCTACTACCATGTTTGGCCTTTTCTGGATGTTGTTAATCTATGATATAATGTATAGTTGTTGTTGCAACTAGCTAAGCTTTGGGCCTTATTTCCCTTCTCCAAGAGACCATGTACATTTTCTCTCTTTGTTTATAATACTAGCCCAATTAAAAGTATATATATATATATTGTCATTGCAACCATATAGCCTTTGAGAATTAATCAACTACAAGGCAAAATGAAGGGCAATGAATGAGGATCGAAATCCTCTCCGGCGCAACAGAACATATGTCCTAGCCGGTGAGTAAATTAGAAAAGTAAAAATACATGAGGTAAAAAATTAAAAAAGAAAACTTTTGTATATACACACATATATATGGGACCAAATCAAAACCAGACCAACTTCTTGCTTTTTTGTCTCTCTCTCTACATCTCTCTCTACACAAACATTTCCCTAACCTACAACTTCTTGTATATCACAACATTTATAGAGCAGATGGTATGTTCTAGAACAGATGGTATACCCGCAACTTATTGTATGTGCTAGATGCAACATACCATCTGCCTCTACAACATACCATCTTGTATCCCAACTTTCAGCTTACCAACATCCCACTTATTGTACAAATACATAAATATATCTTGGTACAAATTGTATATCACAACATTTTCCTACCTTACATCCTAACTTTCTCCTTATCAACATCCTAACTTTTTCTTACCAATATCACACTATTCATCTCTTTATCTTATTTGGGATGTACGTTAGAAAATTGTTGGGAATGCTAGTAAAGAGAAAGTTGGGATGTACATTAAGAAAATATTGTGATGTAAGACCAACGTCCAAACATTTTTCTAACATGCATCCCAAACAAGAGAAAAAGATTGTTGGGATGTTGTTAAGGAGAACGTTGGGATGTTGTTAAGGAGAACGTTGGGATGCATAGTGAATATTGGTACAAACTAATATATATACATCCACATGTATTTATGTATATATATGTGTGTGTATGTATAAAAGGTTTTGTCATACTCGGATGAAGTTATCAAATTTCAGAACCGTGGAAATCATCTTCCCACCAATCAATTGCAAAACCATAGTTATCTAGCTATTCAATTTGAGAACCGTGGAGATCTTTTTCCCACCAATCAATAGCAAAACCAGAGATATAATACTAACAACAAATGATTCAAACACATATACCTCGAATCAATCGACACCAAATCAGAGATTTTGATAAGATAATGCTAAGAATTTAGGGTTTTGAGAGGGAAGAAAAAAAAAAGTATCGTCTACTGAAATTTGATATTTTGTATAAAGTACTATATTTGCAGTATACAGTAACAAATTTTAACCCATCCCCACTTATGTGACATGGCGCTACTAGGACCATACATCACTCACTGGCTAGGACATATGTCTTGTTGCGCAGGAGAGAATTTTTATCCAATGAATGAGCCATGCTAGGATTTATGAGTTATATTATAATAAAGAGTAAATGATCACAAAGAAGATAAGAAAAGCAAAATGTCGCACTTTAAGGTGTCATTCTTTAAATTATCGCGCCACACACTAAGAAAAACCCTACCTTAGGGTTTGAGTGTGAAAATCTTTAAATTTCCCTTAGAACGATGGCGCTTTGATTAAAAGTGCTCCCATTTGACTAATTAGTCTATAAATACCGTTCTAACTCCAATATTTGAACCTAGACATCATTGAACCGAGAGCAATAATCTCAAGTAAGCCTAAATGTCTCGGTTGTCTTTTGACATCTCTAATATTTTTTCTCCTGGACATCTTGAACATCCAACGATTACAAACGCACCAGCTACCCATCATGAATGGTTTCATAAAGTGCACACACAACTTAATCACATCAAAAGGAATGATTGGATGTTACTTGGAGAGAAATCATTGAAGAAGATTCAAGTCCAAATAAAAGAAAGTGCACAAAGTTCATTTTTAGTAGTTAAATTAATTTACAACAAATATTGAACCTAGTCCCTGTTGATTTTTTATATGTTAAAGTACACATGATTCGATTTAGTTCCATTCCAAATTAAATCAAAACCGAATCAATTCTAACCATTCCTAAAATATTAAAATTGGAACCAAGCTGCTAAAACTGTAGAACCGAACCATAAAAAAACAGTTTGGCCCCATTCACAGGTTCCTAAGGTTGTTTTGGGCACCAGTGGATATTCCCCTCCCAATTTGTTTTACCACAATGTCATTATAATAATAATAATAAAAAAAAAAAAAACACTTTTGTAAAAGTAAAAGGTGTCCAAAATTCATATTTAGCTAGGCATTGCCCGACGGACAGACCCAACTTTCTTCTCGCAGTAACCGTTGTGAGAGTCTTCTTCCCAATGGCGGCTTGTTACTGTGCTGCCTCTCCTCAACTTCGTCTTCTTCGCCACCCCGTGACGTCTCCTTCTGCACTCGTCCCTTCATCTTCTCTCTCTACTGTCACTCCACCCTCTTCTCCTCTTTCTTTAGCCCACAGAAGAATCATATACAGAAACAGATACAAACCCTTTTCCTCATTCTCATCCTCATCCACTCGATTGGTGTCGGTGACCGCCTCAAGGAAGAGTAACGATGTTACAAAAATAGAGAAACAGGAAGAAGTAGCAGAAGTTGAAGAGGAAGAGGATGTGCCGTGGATACAGGAGAAGGCGCTGGACTTGGTGGAGTTCACGGGCTCCGTCACGCAGGCCATTCCGGGGCCCAGAGTCGGCAGCAGCTCCTTGCCTTGGATTCTCGCCGTCCCCATGGCTTATATTGGCATTACCTTCGTCATGTCATTCGTCAAGACCGTCCGCAAGTTCAATTCACCCAAGGAATTACGCCGCAAATTGGTATTTCAATTCCCATGCCTCCTTTGTGTTTGTGTTTTTGTTTCAATTGTCAGCTTGCTTGTACACTTCTTGCTTTCCAGTTTTGGTAAAAAGAAAGAAAATAAGAAAATTGGGTATTCACATTACATAGATTACATCGTTCTGTTGTTCATCAATGCTATTAGCGTTTACATTAGTCGTCCCTTCTGGGTTTTCAATTTGGTCTTTGTACCTTTACTATGTAATTGGGTATTTGCATACTTTTGTGGACATCCAAACCCCCTTTCCCAAATTATAACTGTAGCAATATTGGACCCATTTTGAATGTGGCCAATGTAGATTATCTCTTACAGAATGTATAGACCGCTTCAAGATCTTACTCATTTTGGATGTAGCAAAATTTCTTACTGCTGATATACTAAACAAGATCAGTAGTCTACTCAGTCAAGGAAAAGATCACTTCAATATATAACAGCATTTGATTGGCCTGATTTTGCTAGGAGTACATATAACATTTAATTTATCGGATTTCCGCCAAGGTTATGTATTGTGGATCAGATAGTATATAAGATCTGTACCATCTTATCTTATGAATGCGAGTTGGGCACTCTTGAGAACTACCACCCTTCTCACTGATTTAAGTACTTGCCCAAATTTATGCATACTTAATTATATGGAGACTTTCTAAAGTTGCTTTTGATGCATGATTAGCTGCCTAATTTGAGATGATTTCTTCAGGTTAATAAAAATGTGGTTCTATGCAAATCAATCGATGCATTATTTGAAGAAGGAAGAGATGCAGTGCAACAATCAGCTTTGAAGGGACTAATGCAAAAGGTGAGACACGTACATATTTGATGAGCTAGACACATAATACATATATGCCTGTGATTCTCTCTCTCTCTCTCTCTCTCTCTCTCTTCCCCCCTCCCTTTTTCAACTTCTCGTGTCTATTGTGATAGATAACATGCTGAAATTGTATAGATACTGTCATATGTTACATGGACTTGGGTGTGTGAGTGTCACGTGTGTCTACAAGTATGTGTGAGCTCCCTATATCCCACATCCTAGGATACTAGGACTTGGTTTGAAATGTGTCCAAAATTTGGGTGCGGGTACGTGGACACATCATGTACATTAAATATATGATATGTTATCTGATAGTGAAATTTTTAATTGTATTGTTCTTTAAAAAGAAAAAAATGGTTCACTTAAAATTAAATTAAATGTGATGTGGTGAAACAAAGGAGAATTCCATCTGTCTTGGAAGTAGGAAACCCTTCTCGACCATCAAATTTAAACATATTTTCTTCATCCATCATCACATATAGAGGATATGAGTGTCTACTGTCTAAATTGGGTACATGTGCTGGACACAAGGGTGGAGTCTGAGAGATTTATTTGGGGTACCCAAATAAGTAATATGAAATTAAAATTTAAAGAAATTGTGAAATAATTGTAAATTTTTTTTACAATACAATTAGTAATGTACATTTTCAAGAGCATATCTATATGAGGATACTCTCATTGAGCTTAAATCCCTATAACTGTTAGATTAATAGGCTGACCTCACGATATAATCCAATGGTTACAAGGGCGCGGGCTTAATGAGATTGCACTCCAAGTAGTTGCTTGTTTTTTCTTTTTCTTTTTCTTTTCTTTTTTTCTATTTTAATATGACTTTAAAAATGAAAAATATATAACCTAAAAAAGAAGTGAGAAAAGAAGTTTGGAAATTGATATGAGAAGAATAACAACAAAGAGCAGAACATGTTAACAGCCAATAAATGAGATTGCCAAGTGTAGAACATTCATTTTCTTCGCTCTCTTTTGTGTCCTTGGGTCATGCCAAAGTCCTCGAAGAGTATGCTTGAGGTTTGGAAGGGTTGTATAGTGAGGAGGCAAGTCTGAGAAACTTAGTGGGTGGCACCCCTCTGTTTTTGGTGGGGTTTATGGCGGAGCGAAACAGGCAGTCCTTTGAGAGTGAGGACGTTCCGATATGGGTTCTTAAGTTCTCCATTCTTAGCTCCTTAAATTTTCCGTTACAGGGATGGAATTGTGAATCGGTGAAGGATATAGTTGATAGCACTTATCAAAAAAAGGATATAGTTGATAGTATAGTGGGCCTTGTACGGTCCTTGTGGCTTTTGTATTTGGGATGGACTACCTTCTTTTAGGGTTTTCAATTGCCATAGCTGTTGCTCAAACTTGCAATATTACAAAACTTTCAAAATTTTGTAAGTCCTTGCATCCATCGTTAGCCAAACACACAAACACACAGATGGTGGTGTTAATGGCGATGACCGTGATGTTGCTAGCGACAATGGTTATGGTAGTGGTGATGGTGGAGATCTTTAGCTACAGATACGTTGACATACTGTGGGTGGACATTAAACTCTCAATATTTCCGTTTCTGTCTCTTTTCTTTTTTCTTTTTTCATTTTGAGAGATTGAGAGTGGGCTTTGGATGGAGAGGGAGTGCGAGAAGAGGAAATGGGGCGCAGTAAGGTGGTGACTGGTAATGGGGAAAAGTGTCGTACAGTGACCAGCTTAATAGGGCCTTTCAGTGGCTGGTGTTAGGGTGATGAATTCCCCACCCTTTTTCTGCCACTTAGAGTACGTATGTATATGGGTTCAGGATATATACTGTCATGTATCTGTTTAGATGTCTTTGTAGAATAGATTGAGAATAATGGAGACCGGTTAATTGAAGAGCCTATGCAAATAGACCTGTTTGAGAGTTTCAGAGCCAGTATAAGGTATTTTGTGAAAAAATTCGTTTAAAAGGTGGTGAGTGGTGATAGGGAATAGTGTCGGACAAGCTTAATAGGGCCTTTCAGTTGTTGGTGCTGGGGTGATGAATCCCCACCGTTTTTCTTCTACTTAGAGTGCATATGTATATGGGTTCAGGATATATTCTTTAATGTATCTGTTTAGATGTATAAGCAGAATAGATTGACAATAATGGAGACCGGTGAATTGAAGAGCCTATGCAAAGTGACCTGTTTGAGAGTTTCGGAGCCAGTAGAAGGGATTTTAAAAAAAAATTCATTTAAAAGGTGGTGACTGGTGATGGAGAATAGTGTCGTACAGTGACCAGCTTAATAGGGCCTTTATTCCATGTATCTACTTATCAAAAAAATATATATATTCTTCCATGTATCTGTTTAGATATATATGTAGAATAGATTGAGAATAATGGAGACCGGTGAATTGAAGAGCCTATGCAAAGAGACCTATTTGAGCGTTTCAGAGCCAGTAGAAGGGATTTTGTAAAAAAATTCACTTAAATGGTCAAACTCAACATTTAGACAAACATGTAACAGATTTAACGGACTGCTAGTGGTGTGAGAGAATTTATATTTTCTTCATAACCTCAAGGGAGGTTGACCATTATTTTTGCAAAAGTTCTATGCGTGGGTGATATGTGCAAACCTCAAGGGAAAGTTTGCTGAGATCTTGCTTACTTTTATCTAATGTGTGGTAGAGCTCTGATGATGTCTTCAATTTGACATTAATGCATTTCCATCTTCATTCTCCATTTTTCACTTTCAGTATTGTTTCTTCCCTGGCAAGATAAGGACAATTTGTTCAACAGAACAATCACATTTTGTTAAGGAATTTGGTCACAATAAACTCATATTTCTGACATTCAAGCATCTAGAAACAGCATTATACGCATTATGTTCATCCTTGGAGCAATCTTCCCTATGTTTTTCAATAACCTTAGCCTCATCACAGGTTCCTATAATTTTCATAGGGTGCATCCAGTCAACAATTTCATCTAGTGATTTGAAAAATGCTCTCAGGTGGGTCTTCCAGTAGCTGTAATTAGTTCCATCAAACAAGGGAGGTGGTGAAATAGATCCACCCTCTCATATGAGAATCCATGTTTCCAAAAACATAATTTTTTTTTTTTTGTCCTTTTCTAGAAAATGTTTTTGAAAGTTTTCAAAATATATAACTCATTAAGCAACTTGACTCTATACCAAGTGAGAGAGTGGACAGTCAGAAAGTTCCAAATGGATTTAGAGATATAAAACAGACCTAGATAGGGGTGAATTGGTCTTGTTTGCTTTTTTTTTTTTTTTTTTTGGCTTATTTTAAATTTAAGTGACTAATGTAAAACAATCACACAAAGCATGTAAACAAAATAAAAGGGAGAAGAGATTCATGATTATATGTAGAAAACCATTACTAGGGAAAAACCACAAAGACTTACCGTCTTAGCCTCTTAGCCTAATGAATCACTATGGAACGAATTACAGTACTTTGAGGCAGATTTATACAAATTCTCTACTAGACACAATTATTACGCGCTCAAATTGATAGCTGGTTACCACCCATCTCTTACGAGTCTAATTGTGTTACGCCTGCTGTCCAAAGTTCAGATGCTACTTGTGACCTGCCAACACTATCATTGCTTGTGACCTACCTTCTTTCTCATTGTGAGTTTTGCTACAAACTGTTGTATGTTCAGTCAATCAAAGCTCAGAATCACAAACAAAAATTCATCTCTCACAAACCGTACATCAAAAAATTGCAAATAATATTATGCACGGAGAGCTTATGAAGCAAGGATTCCGGAAAATATAAGATTTGTGCAACAAGCCGCCATAACCAGAGAGAAATAGGCTATCTAAGAATCTGCTCCAGCAATCTTATTTAATTTTTTAAAAATAAAATACTGGGGATATTTGCAATAAAATTTCCAGAATTATTCATTTGCATATGGAGCATAACATATAAAAAATTTAGCCCCAATAGAGACCGATTTCATGCGATATCATATTGTGTGTCAAGGTATTTTCATTTTCTTATGTATTCACCATTTTAAAAAAAATAAATAAATAAAATGAATAATTGGTCTCTGTTGGGGCTATCCTGAGTATTTAATTTTTTTAAAAAATAAAGTAAGATTTGCTGGAGCAGATTCTTATATTTCCTATTTCTCTCTGGATATATCGGCTTGTTGCACAAATCTTATATTTTTGGAATCCTTGTTTCATAAGCTTTCCGTGCATATATTATTTGCAATTTTTGGATGTGCGGATTGTGAGATATGAATTTTTTAAGTTCGGATGAATTAGGATTCAAATAAAACAGCAATAAGGGCATTTTGGTCAAAATATCCACTCTTTTACCCCCTCGGATAGTTTTGGTTGTTGTGTGTTGGGGGGGGGGGGGGGGGGGGGGGAGTTTGGGGTGTTCAGTAAAATTTTAGTCGAGTGGGGTTTATTGTACTTTGTCCTATCTTTTAAAAAAATGTGTATACATGTGTGTTATGCGTATGAAAAACTCCAGTAATTGTTTTTATATGTTTCTAAATCTTTTGAGAAGTTTAAACAATTTCTAACACTATTCAGGAGAAGTTATTGCAGACTTGGAATCGTGCGGGAGTGGGACATCTTTTAAGAATTTAGGAACTCTTGTCACTAGGACCTTGCTTATCTGTGCTCAGCTCTGTGGTGTTCAACCATCATTATATGTGAAGTCCCAAGCTCAACTATCATATTCAAAGAACACGATATTTAAAAACATTTTGTATGTATTCTCTCACTGACTCACTCACTCACCCGTCTTAGGAACTCTTGTTACTAGGACCTTGGTTATCTGTGCTCAGCTTTGTGAAGTTTTGAGTATTGGTGCTTGATTGTTCAATATTTGTGCTCAACTACATTATATGTGAATTCCCGTGCTCGATTGTCATATACAAAGAACGCGAAATTTAAAAACATTTTGTATGTATTCAATAGGCGATTTCAAGATTGAAAAGAATCTGTATATTGCCGTACAAAGAATGGTTTACAATGCTTTAGTTAAATAGGAAATACAAG